TATGTACAATCCTTGTTTTATTGATTGCATGTAATATTCTAATTTTCTGAGATGGTGAATTTGGGGTTTTCATGAGCTGTAAGCCATAATCATCACAATTATGACATATCACAGCTTGAACTATCTTGCTTTGCATGTAATGAATCTTATCTCATATATTAGTTTTACCTTTTAAGTTGCATTACTGAAATAAATTAACTTTTGCACGATATTCTAATTTTTCAAGTTTCACCTGTATAGTCAGATATAAGCCAGGGCAGAGACCTATGTATATGGCTCAAAACCTGATGTCGTCTAAATGAGCTGGCCATGAAAGTAAGATTTATTAGCAACTGTAAATTCAGGATATCTGAATATCTGAATTGGAGAAGACAGCACTGGTCATACGCATCAGTAATATTATATAAATGAATTATTTCTAGCATCATCAATTTCATCTGGTAACTTATATAGTGTAAGGCTAAGTTGTTTTATATTTTATGCAACTATTGAATTTTGCTTATGCACATGCAGCCATTTTAGATTTCTGCTTGTGAAATGTATTAAAATATGCATGTAAGTGTAGAATAGAATATGTGTGGTCACATGTAGATGTGTTATTTCATTTCATCACATCAATAAAATATAATTATTATTTTTTGTAGAATATTTTTGAGAGAAATAGAAGATTATATAGACTGCCCTCAACTGATAGGACGTGGTTTCCTCGAACGGGTAAGTATTAGATTTTAAGTAACTTGGAATGAAAAGTTGTCACTAGATTGCTCTTCCTTAGTATTCTTTCAAGATGCAAGAATTTATGTCACTAGGACTGGCTGAGTTCTCATTGACATTTCCATCATCCCAATAAGACTGATCTTTGAATGTTGCTGAGAGCAGCAGAGGAATACCATCAAGATGGCTTAAAGAAATTTCTTGGTGTTATCCACCCTGTTGAACTCACCAACATTCTACCAGTCTCCTCCATTAATGCCACTACAATTACTCTGTGGGGAAAATCCAAGAAATTGTTATTGCTTTTATTATTTATAAAAAACCCTCGGGGGGGGGGGGTATTCAGAAGGTGACCTATATAACAGTTACAGGAGGAGAAGGAGGAAATGGAAGGAGAAGGAGGAGAAGATCTCAGCCTCATTCAAGGAGAGCCTGATGAGTCTCAGATAGATGAACAGATACTTTGACTGTGTAACAACCAGTTTTCCATTTCATGTAATGCTTTGATTATATGAAGTGCCTTGACTACAGATCAGCTGTACTAATGCCATAATGCTCCAGGAATAAGAAAAATTGCATTTGTCAAGAAATTTAGGTGCAGGATCAATCTACTCTACCACCATTCTCATATACCGGTCTATACAGATCTTGATCTTTACACTAAATCAGTGTTTCTCAACACTAGCATTACTTTGAAATCATTTGTAAATTATCTGCTGTGTCAATCGATTTGCCACATTTAATCAATCATTGAAGTGTGTGTATGTTTAGAAAACAGTTTGTAGTCTGCTGCTAGTTCCTTTGAAATAGCAAACTACCCTCTAAATGTCTCATTATTTTCCTTGATATACGGTAAATGTTGCATGCTACAGATTTTCAGGTTTCCCATAAAGGAAAAAGAATAGCAGAAATCTGAACAGGAAAAAACATTTTTGAGATGAGTCAATACACTCTGTCAGTATCTCTTGTCAGAAGACTTTGGTCTTTCAGTAAGCTTGTCATTATAGATAAATTCTTTTAATAAAACAGATGCTTCATTGATTGATTCATGGTTTTCTTTTTTAAATTAAGATGAAAGACTTCAAAATTTATGAAAAATATTGTCAAAATAAACCTCGATCAGAAAGTCTTTGGAGGCAGTGTTCAGATTCAGCATTTTTCCAGGTATTTTTTATGTACTTGGGACCATATTACTTAGTCAGTTATTACTTTGTGGGGAAGAAGTTATTGTCTGTCTTTTATTTTTTGTAGGAATGTCAACGAAAACTTGATCACAAGTTGAGTTTGGATTCTTATTTACTAAAGCCTGTTCAAAGAATAACCAAATATCAACTGTTGCTAAAGGTAGGCATTCAGCTATGTCCTTGATTGATTGATTGATTGATTGAATGAATGAATGAATGAATGATTGATCGAAGTCAGGTGGGACAGGAAGTAGCAAATTATTAGATATCAGGAGAAATACAGGCAGTCACATTTGTGGCACACTTTTCAGAGAGGGACACTTTTCAAAGAGAGACGCGGTGGCTCAGTGGCTAAAACACTGAGCTGGTTGATCAGAAAGGTTGGCAGTTCAGCGGTTTAAATCCCTAGCGCTATATAACGGAGTGAGTTCCCGTTACTTGTCCCAGCTTCTGCCAACCTAGCAGTAAAAATGCAAGTAGAAAAATAGGAACCACCTTTGGTGGGAAGGTAACAGCATTCCGTGTGCCTTCGGCGTTTTAGTCTGGTTGGCCCCATGACCACAGAGACGTCTTCAGACAGCACTGGCTCTTCAGCTTTGAAACGGAGATGAGCACCGCCCCCTAGAGTCAGGAAGGACTAGCACATATGTGCAAGGGGAACTGTTACCTTTCAGAGATTGTCTTTTTTTAAATCACTATATAAAAAATAATTTGCCAGTGACTTGAAATTTGCAATAGGCTTTATAGTTATCCTTAGCAAATATATTATCACATAGAGAATTCCATGTTCCTCTTCAGGAATCATCTTTCCAGACAAAAAGATATATTTGGAGAGGGAGGAGAAAGACAAAGGTTACATTTCCTGTTCCTTTGTATAGCTTACTTTCAGTATAATCGGAGGATCAAGGGACAATCTCTTCCCTGGAATAAGTAAAAAGTAATACTCCAAGAGAAACTTCAGGGCAATAAAATTTATCCTTTCTGAAAGATCCTTCTGCTGGATCAAAACTGGTTCTTTCTACAGGAAGAAAGTCTAATCCAAGACTCTGAATGCTTCTACTTCACAAATGGAAAGTAGAGTTTGTTCAGTAATACCTTGATTAAGGGGACAGAAGAAATACAGAAAAATGACGGTTGCTGCTAGTTTGTGCATCATTACTTAATTTACGATTTGTAGGATAGATACCAAAGTACAAGAGCCCTAAGGGAGACACCAAAATGGCAAGAAACCTTTCAGAAGACAAAAATATTAAGAAATTATCCTGGCCTGAGCATACTTCCAATGTCAGAGAAATTTGCCTTCCACAAGTGGGTGGGGCCAAATGGCAAGGATGATCTCTGAAATTTGATGCACAAGGCAGCCAAGTTTGCAAGGCCAATCTTGTAGCACTTTTTCTCATTCCCCTATCCTTTGGGATGTTCACTCTGATGGTCAGATAATTAGCAAGAGGTCAATTAATATTTGAATTTACATTCATTGGGAAAGAAAGGGCTACAAATGGGTAAATAGGCACACAGTAGAGAATACACGTTGAGAGAAATATGCTACCACTGACTGTTTTTGCTAGCATGCTCATGCACTTAGGCAAAAAAAAAAAAACCACTTTGTATAAAACTGATTAAGATCTAGTCAGTTTCAGGCAGCAATCTGCCCAGACAGTGCTGATCAACTAATTAAGGTCGTAGAGCTGAGTTTGTTAAGTTGCCAGCACTTTTTAAGGAAGTGCTGTTCTGCAGATAAATTCTGCTCAAGAAGAAATAGCTTGTTTAAGTAAACTTTCCATTCTAGAAGGAGGGTGGGGCATTGGACAAAGATGGCCCGTGAACTGATCAATACTTGATCCTGAAGCTAATTGTCTTTTATTCTATCCACTTGATTTAATATCTATTTGAAAATAAATGTAAAATTTATTCACCTTTTACATTATTCAAGACCATTACTCTTGCCCCAGTAGATTAAAAGAGCCCCATTAAGCATTTCCTTAATGATATACTATGTATATGTTTTTCTGTAGCCTGAAGTACTTGTTGTTTTCCAACAGGAAATGTTAAAGTATAGTAAAAATTGTGAAGGTGCTGAAGATCTCCAAGTGGCCCTGACTTCAATATTGGGAATTCTTAAAGCAGTTAATGATTCCATGCATCTGATTGCAATCACTGGCTATGAGGTAACTGGTAATATTTCTTTCTTTCTTTGTTCATTGAATTTGTTTGCTGCCCAATGGCCATCTTGCCACAAGGTGACTGCTTACAACATTAAAATAAAACCATAACTATACACACAGATGTTTAAAATCACATTAAAATTGCTAATAAATTCCAAGTTATAACCAAAGAGAGGGGAAGAAGGGGACAGAATATACAAAGTGGGGTAGGTGGAAGCTGGTATCAACAATCTCCAGTGTGATATTTCCCCATTGTGGTCCCAGGCAAACTAGCAGGTTTTGGAATATCATATTTTATAGACAGAGAAGCAAGACCAAGCCTGACTATCTAGTGCAAATATTTTATTTTTCCAGTAGCCTGAAATAAAATATTTTTTTATTCAAATTAAATCCCAACTCTCATTAGGGCTTCAAGGCAGTATAGATAATCGATCCTATTTTTTTCCATCACAACAATTGAAGTGGGTTGGGCTAAAGCAGGGCGGCTGGCCTGATGGCATCCAGGATCCTTGAAGAACTAAGGGTGATAAATAACAATTTCATAATTCTGAAATAATTATCGTAATTTATTAATACACTGGACCTCCCAAAACATTTTTTAAATGGTAGAAAGTTCTGTTTTTCAGATGACGTCTCTCAGTTAACTTTGCATCTTATCTCTCCATGTAATTGAATGAAATGGAAATTTAATTAACCCAACTTAAAAATAAATACAGGTAGTCTTCGACTTACAGACACAATTGAACCCAACATTTCTGTTGCTAAGTGAAGCAATCGTTGTGATGAAGAAAAATAGGAATGATTATCTATACTGCCTTGAAGTCCTAATGAAAGTGAATTTTGCCCCATTGTACAACCTTTCTTGCCACAGTTATTAAGCGAATCACTGCAGTTGTTAAGTTAGTAACAGGTTAAGTGAATCTGGCTTCCCCATTGACTTTGCTTGTCAAAGTTCGCAAAATTAATCACTTGATCCCAGGACACTGCAACCGAGATAAATACAAGCCAGTTGCCATCACATGATCATGGAGATGCTTCCAGCGGTTGTATGTGTGAAAAATGATCCTGCATGTAGGAAGACTATGCAGCAGCTGTTTCTTCTCAAAGGCAATCTTTAGATAAAGTAAATAGAGGAAGCATAATGTGGCAGAGGGGTCTGAGACCCAGTGGGGTGGGAAGCAGGCCCAAGACCTGCAAAGATTCAGTGGGGTGGGAAGCAGAGAACTGTGTTCCTTAGGGAGTGTGGGAAGCCTGAGTGGGCTGTGTGTAAATTGAGGAGGTGCTGTAGTGGAGAACTGGGCTTGGGCTAGGCTTCCCAACCCCCTCCCCCTTTTGAGGCACCCTGTGCTCTACAACAGGGAGAGCAGAGGTGGGTTCCTACCGGTTTGGCCGAACCAGTAATAATTTGGCAACCTGGGTTGCTGGAACCGGTAGCGACCCAGGCCTGCCACGCCCCCAAACAAGTTCTCCTATGGTGGTGCCATCCTGGTTTTCGGTTCTGCGCATGCATAGAACAATTTTTATTGTAGAAATATAAGTTTTTTCCCTTTAACGTTTTGCACATGCACAGACCTTTTTAGGTTCAAATGCGCACTCACATTTTGCATTAGGTGCAAATGCACACATACACGGAACCGGCAATAATACTGGCAGCAACCCACCCCTGTCGTTAAATGAAGGACTCATGTGGGTAATTCGCTTAATGACCACAATACTTACAACTGTGACGGACAGGCTTAAGCAAAATAATCATTTTCTCCTTTGGTTTTGAACTTGCTGAATTATATTACTTGGGCCATCATTATTTAACAATCACATTTTACCCTGTTTCCCTGAAAATAAGATGTTCCCTGATAAGAAGCCCAATCAGGCTTTTGAGTGTATGCGCTAAAATAAGTCCTCCCCGAAAATATTGCAACACAGCAGCAGCCATGAGGTGACCACACTCACTACCACCTGCACCTCAAAAATAATAAGACGTTCCTGAAAATACGGCTTATTTTGCAGGTCAAAAGAAAGTAAGACCCTGTCTTATTTTCGGGAAAACACGGTAGTAATCAGAAATAAAATCATCTACTTGCAGTTCTATTGATCGTGCATGTGTGTGTGTTTCCTTTTTTTTTTTTTTCCTTGAAGGGGAACCTGAATGAACTGGGGAAACTTTTAATGCAAGGATCCTTTAACGTATGGATTGATCATAAAAAGGGTCACTCAAAAGTGAAAGATTTGGCTCGATTTAAGCCAATGCAAAGACATCTCTTCCTCCACGAGAAGGCAATCTTATTCTGTAAAAAGAGAGAAGAAAATGGAGAAGGTTATGAAAAAGCTCCTTCATACAGTTTTAAGAATTCTTTAAATGTAAGATTTAAAAATACATTTAAAATATATAGACAAATGTTTGAATTTGAAGTTCTGAATCTTAAATTGCATAATTTCAAATATTTGAATATTTGGCCAAAGACCAGTTACAGTGGAATAAAACTAAAATTGCCTTATTTCTATTCTGTTCTGTTCAGTGGTGAATAAGCCTGAAATATATTGATCCTCTATATGTCATAAAAACATAGATTTAAAACTGTTAATCTTCTCTACTCCAATGTCTGTTTTTGGAAAATCAGAACAACAATATCAGTGTACAGTTTAATTAATGTAGTACCTAGTCAGTCTAGCCAACAAATACAATCTTGTTTTCTCTCCATTTCTTGTATACTTTTTCTAAAATGACATAAATTAGGAAATCTTTGAATATTGCTTTAAATTTTTTTTTTGTTTTCTAGATGACTGCAGTTGGAATAACAGAAAACGTCAAAGGGGATATTAAAAAATTTGAAATCTGGTATAATGCAAGGGAAGAAGTTTACATAGTACAGGTAAAATCTTTTCTTTAAGTGCTGTTTATTGAAAAAGCTCTTTATTTATTTGATCAGTTTTTTCCCCACTTCTGCCAGCTATGATGCTCAAGAAAGCTAATAAAAACATGAAGACAATAGCATAATTACAAATACAAGAATAATATTTACATAATTTCTGCAGCAATGCGGTCCCTCTTCCAGGTCCTTTCTTCAGGGCTTGTGGGGGAAAGATGGTTAGAAAACAGAAGTAAGAAATTTTGTTGCATTTTGTGAAAATGAGACAGTGGCATCCCATTGGAGGTCACTAATGATAAAATGGCAACTGTGATATCCCAATCAAAACCACTCTCCTTTTGCATAAATATACAAGGGGGTATTCATAAATATTACACAGATATATAATGAGGTAAGACTTTGCACAATGCTTGCCAGTTTTGACACTGACACAATTCTAACCTCATCTGCTGAAATTATGTTCCTCCCTCCCCCCCCCCTCTCTCTCTCTCTCTCTCTCTCTCTCTCTCTCTCTCTCTCTCTCTCTCTCTCTCTCTCTCTCTCTCTCTCTCTCTCTCTCGGCCTGGCTGCCTTCAGAAGAACAAAAGAATTAAATTTCTGGTTGTTGTTGTTTTACATAGGCTGCAACTCCTGAAATCAAAGCTACCTGGGTAAATGAAATTAGAAAAGTATTGACCAGCCAATTACAGGCTTGCAGGCGTAAGTTAAGTCTTTCTCATCAATCTCCCTGATATCTAATGCTTAGCTGTAAAATATCAGCATACAGTAAAAATTGTGTTTATTTTTCTAAACAAACAAATTTCTGAGGAAGGGAACAAAATTAGCTCTTCTTCCTTGAAATCATTAGGCGGTCATTATTTGAAGCAGGACTCACAACACACTTTCATCTTTAGCTGCCCCCTCGTAATTTTTCCTGTAGAAAATGGGGATCGGAAGGTATACCATGGGGTTTTTTCCCTTCACATCAGAAAACGCACATCTGTCTGCTTGGGATAGGGATGCAAGGTTATTTTTGACAGTTCCCTGGCCCAATAAAGAAAAGGCAAGACTAAGCAGAGATGGCAAAGTATATAGTATGAGCTAGAAGTGATGGCCATGAGCAAGTTACCATAGGTTACAGTTAGTTACTCTAGTTAAAACCCTATTATTTAAGTGAGAATTCTGTCAATATTCAGTACATTGTGATGTTAAAAAAATGTATACATTTATTAAGGTATTTGGACTGCAGATAAAATAGTTCCCTGTTTGAACAACAGTTTGCCTTCATTCATGATTAGAGAACTTTAATGTTAGTCTCCAAAGCTTAAGCTTGTCAATGAAAGATACTTTCCCACTCTCTTTCTCACTTACAGAAGCTAGCCAGCATAAAGCTGTTGAACACTCTCAGAGTTTACCTTTATCTCTCTCAAGTAATACCAGGTGAGTCATTCTCTACATCAAAGATTACTTTTTAAAAAGTTGAAAACAATTGATGCTTTTGGATTTCAAGTGTCATGAGTCAAGTTAGAGATTTAAATTCTTAACTTTTGTGTAGTACTTAAATGTACTTTAGAGGCTTTCCCCCAAAATAGATTATGGATTCAGGTTATATACATGGTTTCCTAAAACCAGTTTTCCCATGTGGGTTTATATTCTAATGCACAATAAGTCATTAAAAAAAATCATCTCCTGCAATTTGTTTTAAAGATCTTTCTGTGATGTAAATCATTCACTATTAAGATAACTATAAATGATAACTCTCACTTTCTTCCATGAATAGCCCTTCAAAAAATGAGGGAAGGCACTTGAGAAAACAAGAAATGAGAAATTCAGATAGTCCAGATGGTTGTGTCAGTTCTGTAGCACCAAAGAATCTTGAAAAAAGCAAAGGTAAATTCAAAAGCTTTTCATGGAACCAATTGGAAAAGTTATGGTATGAAACAAAAAATAATGTGGTTATTATATTGTGATGTAAGATCAGTAAATATTATAAAATATTAAAATATAGAGGTCAATGCCTCTATGAAACTTGACTTTCAGGTTTCAAAAAATATGGACTTAACTTGATCCATTGCTGTCCTTAGTCTGGTTTAACAACTACACTAAAATAGTTACCCATCTCCTTTTTGTTTGAGGGAAATTACATTTAATAATGTAGAATCCCAATAAAGTCTGCTATGTGCTGGCTATGTTTGCTATGTGCTGGCTATGTTTGTCAATTCTTTGAAGAATTGAACTGTTTGACTCCTTTAAGAACTGCTTAGTAAACTTATGTTTGATAATAAAATTGGTCAGTAGTTCAATTTTCTTTAATAAATAAGGAATAAGGATAAACAGTGTGCTCAAGATATGTAGAAGAACAGATTAATTTTAGGAAAAAACAGTAAAAAAAACCTTAGGCAAGTTTATTAATGATAAGTATATGCTAATGGCAGTACCAATCCCTATAATTAAATCAGTGGTATTTCCAGTGTTAATTTGTGTCTGTGAAAAATGAACATTGAGAAACTTTCGTAGAAATAATGGATCTGATTGTTACAGATCTAAAGACTGCAAAAGAACTGATCAATCAGCCTTGAAATCAGGAAATAGCAATAGCATTTAGATTTCTTTACTGCTTCACAGTGCTTTATAGCCTTCTCAAAGCAATTTTAGAGTCAGCATTTTGCCCCCAACAATCTGAGTTGTCATTTTACCAACCTCAGAAGAATAGAAGGCTGAGTCAACATATAGAACATTTCATTCAAATGAAGTTCAAGCAGTTGTGCTGTGAGCAGATAATATGGGCAGATGATAGAGTAAAAGATGTGGTTATGTTCTGCAAGGCTGAGGGTGACACCAGAGGTGGGAGTCACATACTGTAACAACAGGTTCGCCCAGCGCCAGAAATGTGTGTGCGCACATTCCATGTGTGCGGCATCAAAAACACAGCAATATAGGATGGGATTGTGGCCAGGTGGATCAGTAGGGGTGGTGGCCTGAACCGGCAGCAGCCACCACTGCGCAACACTGATAGAAGATGACACTGGATAAAGGGAATGGATAAGAACAAAGAGAGTATAGAAACCATAATAATTTGTATAGCAACCATAATAATTGTATAGCAGATTATAGCAACCATAATAGTTTGTATCCATGATAAAATGAACTCAACATTATGAGGAAGCACTAGTTTAATAAAATGAATCCTTCCTTTGCCTGATCTATCTATCTACAGCTCTCATTTGGAAATTATTGAAAATTGTCAGTGTAAAACATGAGTCTCATATCTGAAATATAGTCGCACCAAACATGAGCATGTTTTGACCAGAGAGGGGTTGCTAATCTTTTTACTACTGGTTCGGGTGCGCTCCCCTGCGCACATAATGCTTCTGTGCATGCACAGAAGCATCCGAGCAGGTGGCGCCGTCATTGCTATTACTGGTTCAGCCGATCCAGGCCAAACCGGTAGCAACCCACCTCTGATTTTGATCTGGCAAAAGTCTCATAACTATAACCCTGTTGTCACGTACTAAGGCTACCAGTTTGGATCCCAAAAATCAAGTTGTCTGGTAGATGACAAAAAGAGTTAGGGTTTTCTGTATCCATTCTGAAGATATGAGTAACTAAGGAGGAGGAAAAAAACCTGCTGCTGTTGCTATTGCTTGTTTATTCATCAACTCTTTTCCTGGCAAGCAAGCAGCTGGCATCAGTGACCTGAAGGAGGAGAAAGCTCTTTTGATATAAGAATATAATATAAGGAAGATCCCAGAGGATATCTCACCCAAATTCTTATAGTACTCATTAGGGGTCCCCAGCGGTGGGATTCACTTACCTTCTCTACCAGTTCGCAAATGTGATCGCACATGCCACGTCTGTGCATGCGCACCGCCTTCTGCACATGTGCAGTGGTCACACATTACGTCATGGTGGATGGGCGGAGCCTCCCACAGCCTCCACTACTGATTTTCCCGAACAGTAGAGAACTGGCTGAATACCACCTCTGGGGTTTATCACTCACTAAGTACGCTGGTTCCTTGCATTTCCATTTATTGCATTGTTCCTTTTCTATTAAATATTATTAAGCCTTACATTCCCACAAAATATACAGTATCTACATGGCATATGAAAAACATTATCTCCATATGGGTAAAGCTATGCAAAACAAACTGCTTTGGAGCATCCATTTAATTATGAACAGGTTAAATATAGCTTCCAATAATATAAATGATATAGCTGCAGCATAATGAAAGAGGGATATTTATTATTCAGTTCTTTCACAGATGCAAAGTCTGTGTTAACATGGAACAGGGCAAAGTGGGTCAGCGCTACTTACCTTTTACTAACAGCCCAAGGCAGGCAAGGTAACATATTTTTTCTTAGACCTAGATCATTGAGCTTTCTGCATGGTGTGGTTTGTTGTGGCTTTCTTTCCTTGCCCACTTGAGACATAACAGACCTGCTCTCAAGCACAGGTTGCTTGCTTGATTTAGTCATGGCTGGATTTTGTAGATAGGATTGTCGCCTTTTCATTCTTCATTTGTGCCCATTTATTTAATAAAAGCTTCCTTTTTAGTTCTTTTTAGATTTTCTACTTGTTGTATGGATCTGCAGATTTCTGCTTCTAAAGATGTCAGGATGTACCATGTTTCCCTAAAAATAAGAAAGGGTCTTTGACCCCTGAAATAAGCACTTGGCCTTATTTTCATGGAGGTCTTATTATTTTTGAGGTGCAGGAGTTGGCAAGTGTGATCACCTCATGGCTGCTGCTGTGTAGCAATATTTTCAAGGAGGGCTTATTTTGGGGGTAGGGCTTATTTTAGCGCTTATGCTCAAAAGCCTGATTGGGCTTATTATATGGAGTGGTCTTATTTTCAGGAAAACAGGGTAATCAGAGAGTTCCCTATTTACCATTATGATGAAATCATAATGAGGAGCAATCTAGATGTGTTCCATAATTGTAGCTTCTGACATTTTGTTCTTTCAAGATGTCAGAAGCTACAATTCAATGCAACCCATTGACTTCTGCATTACACTGGCAGTCTATGACTAACTATAAATGCCTTCAGGATCTCGTGGAAGTGATAGTTACAGACTGCAAAAATCACAGAAAGAAAAATTCACAGACACAAATATCTCTCCTGTGTTTCGTTTGTTTGACATTTCCAGACACTGTCCATTAAAGAAATTATTCTATTTACTGGTAACAATAGGGAGGGATTAAATGTACTTGAATACCTTTAGCTATTAGTAGAAATACATTCAATTTTTCCCTGAACCATCCTGTCAGTTGCATCCCACCTATTTTATTCAATAGAAACTAGGTGTCATCATTATCAACTAAACATTTTCTAATTGTAAATTGTGCAGTGGTTAGTTGCAGTACTGCAGGCTACTTCTGCTGATCACCGACTGTCAGCAATTTGGGAGATCAAATCTCACCAGGCTTAAGGTTGACTCAGTCTTCCATCCTTCCGAGGTGGGTAAAATGAGGACCCAGATCGTTGGGGGCAATAGACTGACTCTGTAAACTGCTTAGAGAGGGCTGTGAAGCAGTATATAACTCTAAGTACTATTGCTATATTTCTGCCGCTATATGTTTACTTTCTTGCCTGTGTTAAATAAAGTAGAACAGGAAGATAGAATAGTGAACCAATATAGAAAGATACATTAGATGATATGGGCAGTTGTTTGAAGTTGTATTGTTAAATAGAGAAAATTTATATTTCTGTAGTAGTTACTTATTCTGGAAGTGAGTGAGTTGAAATTAAATGCAGTGGTTACAATTGGCTTGTTCTAAGCATATTTTTGCCAGTATTGAACGAGTTCCTTGTTTTGTACTTTTTTATATGTTGTTATACAAAATATTAAATAGTGGTATTATTAAATATTTCTATATGATTTAATGAAAAATCATTCATGTTTAAAACCAAAATTCAGTGAATGTAAGGCTAATAGCAGGAAAAAAAGAACTAGACCCACTTTTTAAATTAATTTTGTTTTGTTATCCCTAGTTCCAAATGGATTCTTTATTTTTATGTTAAAACTATATGTGTGTCACTGGGTGTCTGAATCTCAGATAATAATAATAAGTATTGATTTATTCAGGTTTGTCCAAAACCTTTCAATCTCTTGATGCTTCTGAAGAAAACGATGGTTGGTCTAGTGCAGAAGATCCATTTAATTCATCAGATGCAGAAGAAGAGGGAAAGGCAGAGAAGAAATTGGTAATTTTCATCTTCATTGTAGAAATGTGATGAAATATATGGATCCACTCACTGAAGAAGTAATCACTAAGGAAAAATTAATGTTTTTTTATAATTACAGTACAGAAAAGAATTATAGATAGATAGATTTGAACAACTCTACTGTAGCTATTAATAACATAACATAATTATAAATTATAATTATAACATTTCTTAAAGGTCCTGAATATTTATATGTATGAATGTAAAGTCATACACATATTAGAAAGCTGTAATCCTGAAATGTTATAAAATGGGTCTTTAATTTAACCCGAAAGACTGCATTTGGGAACTTCATTATAGAAAAACTAAACTGATACCACTGTTTAGTTATGTCTCAAATGTCAATCTATTTATTGTGATAGTTCTAATACTTAGATGATTATTTCTTATAAAACCAACTGTGGTTTCTCATTTTTATATTTAGGTTCCTGGTAAATATACTGTCGTAGCCAGTTACGATAAAGGTAGCTCAAACGGCTTGATCCTGAACAGTGGAGAGTTAGTTCAGCTAATCCATGAAGCAGCAGATGGCCTTTGGTATTGTATTTTAATACAAAATATATTGAAATATACTTTTGCCCAATATGTATATACTATTCTAGATATATGAAATATATTAGACTATATATAAATGTGAAATATACTAGACTAGATAGATGAAATATACTAGTCTAGATATATGAAATATACTATTCTAGATATATAAGTATGGTTAAGAAATCTTGAAGAAGCTTATAATATTGCTTCCTCCCCCCATCTCCCATTATAAGAACAGTCTTTGACAAAGCTACAATAGAGCAAACTAAAACAATTCAGTACAAATACTGTTGTTTCCCGAAAAATAAGAGCTATCCTGAAAATAAGACCTAGCTTGATTTTCACATGTGTGCCTAATATAAGCCCTACCCCCAAAATAAGAGATGGGAAAATGAGAGTCTAACTTGCATTCTTACAACTGCTGGAAACCTGGAATGTTCAGAGGGTATATATAAGATTACATTCCAAATACCATCTAAATCTAAACATGGGGTGGCTATATTGCTTCTGAATTTAGCCATAATGTTTTGATTCCTTGTAGATGCTGGGTTTTTCAACAGTTTGACAGCAAATGTGTATTTTTAGGTATCTGAGAAATTTGAGCACAAACAAAGAAGGGTGGGTCCCTATCAACATTTTGATACCGTTACTCAGTAACTCCAAATCTGCTTTCTCTCTCAGCAGCTTAGGTAAGGTTCGCTTTGCAGATGTTTACAATTAGTTTCATTTATCAAATATACTTCATCATCTATCTTTTAAAAAATTGTATTTGCTTAGATATCCCTTCCCCTTAGGTGGAATGATGTACTATACAGATGTTTGTATCTATATTGTTTTACAGAAATGGGTTTATTCAGTTTTATTTTTGCAAGTTTCTTTTACACCACTTAGGGAACATTTCAGTAAGCAATTTAGAAATATATACAAAACCTCATTGTATAATATCCTGTTAATATATATGTGGGGTGGTTTTTTTTCAGAATCTGCAGCGGGTTCAAGTACATTGAGTTCATCTTCAAGTTGTAGTGAAAATTGCAATGTCAGCAATCCCTTCTCAGATACTAAGGGTTAAATTGAAAGTTCCACCACAACTCTCTGAAGATTTAAAACTGCCAATGTGACTATCAGATGTTAAAGAAGTAAAGAAGCATCATAATTGCACATTTCTCAGTTGTTCCTCTTGTGTTTAAAGATGGTTTAGTGGGTATTCTTGAAGAACCTGAATACATTGGTGATGGATTAGTGGGAATAACTCTTCTGGAAGCTGCCAGCATAGAAACCTATCACTCTTCAAGAATGAAATGGACTTTGTCATAGATATCTTGGGAAGAATATTACCAGCAGCCATTAGTTTCCATTGTGTAAATCTGACTAGTTAAAACAATGATTATTAAATTAATATAGAATGTAGAAAACAACAACTGAAAAACTTGATCTCCATAAATGAATGAATAAAAGCCATCTGGGGTCAAAATATAATGTGCAGGAAATGACAGAGCTGAGTATTTGCTAATTTGATGTAGTACCATAATTCTTTTCTAACTTCATTTTCTGTGGCATTTCCTTTAGCCATGATGAAAAAAATTGATAATCTGAAATATTTTTAACACTGAACCAAATTTTAAGACCAATTACTATTGTTTATGGAATTATGATAATTTCGTGTTTATTTGGACATACAAATCTTTGTTAAAAAAAAAAGAAGTGAAAATATTGCAATCCATTTTTGTACTAGTTAAGATGATACTACAATGTCACAAAATTGTCCTCTGTCCTCAGCTTTTGTCCTTTGGCAACTAGGCCAAAAGCTGTTCAATCATTTTAGAATTTTCTCATTCTCTGTGGGACTGAAACCTTACTGCTGCTTTTTTTAAAAAATTCAGTTTGTTGCAAAACTGAAGGCATCACACACAGGAATAGGAAATAAATTATTAAGTATTTTACTTTCTTTGTGTGAAATAGAGTAATATTGTACAAACAAATTCTTCTAAGAAAACAATTTATAAATCTATCTTGCCAAAGGAAGGACTACTTAAAACCACATTTAAACCATGCTGGATTTACTCAAACATCTGAATTAATTTACAGCTCATGCTGGTGTTATGTGGAAATGAATGTTTGACTTTCAATATTTATGAAAACAGTAGAAATATAACAAGTTTGTCTGCATTTTGGCTTGGTATATATAACCACTGACTTTGATTGTTCCAAATGTCAGACAGGTTCCCAGCCAACTGCAGCTGACTGCGGATAGTTCACCAAGATATTATTTTTGTATGTGTGTTTATATGTTTATGTGTTATGTATTAATGTAAAAATATCTATTTATAATCTTCCAGTCCTTGCATTTCAGCTTTTTAAAAAGCATCAGTGTGTAGTCTTTCCAAGGCTTTAATTAATATACTTTCAGCATGATCTATCTTTCCCTGAACCTTCTCAGAAAATGGGGCCATGCTGGCAAAGCCAGTGTTGGTTCTTTTCTGCTAATCTACTAGCAATATTCTTTATAACTTATTTTGTAAATATGGGTGTAACAAAAAGAGAAAAGAAACTTTTTTTATTTGCAACATTGGCTGATGAAGGAAGAATGTAATGCTGGAGTACATACATAGGGCTTGTCGCGTCCTCCCTCTGCCAATCTGCTTTGGCTTGGGAGACAGTAAGTGACATCTTAATATACCATATAAAATGGTCGGTTATCATTGGCTTTTGTAAAGAGCTACCACAGGGAAACCAAGCTCTGCAGAAGGCTCTCCTATCAAATCCTGTTTACTTTATACTTGCCAGTGTCATTTCATGTGCTTGTACATGTATCATTGCACTTTAATAGCCAATATTTCAATTTTTTACTGCTGATGTAAATTACTACTACAGAATCCAGTATCCTTATTGTATGTATGATACTTTGAATAAATTTAAGCATTACTTGTTGGTTGGTCTGAACGTATAGAAGTGTGTATATGTGTGTGCGCACTCAAGTGCACATGGGTGTATTATTTTGATTTTGTTTTGTTTCACAGAACAAGACAAAGCCCATATAGGCTCTATTCCTAAAGCATCATTTCAGATGCTTAGGAATAGAGACTCTCTTCTCCCCTTTTAAGACTGTCTTCTCCTCTTTCCCCAAAACCATTTGTTTTATAATCTAAATTTGTCTTTTGGCAAGTGTCAGGGCAGTGATCTGGTGACCAGGTAATTTGCTCTTTTGGATCCAAAGACAGTAAGCATACCAGTAAATAAATGGATTTTAAGCTTTATTATTAATTCATGCTTTTAAATCCGTTTGCTTAACATTAAAAAGCAAACCCAAATGTCTTGCAGGCCACCAAGAGCTCCTTTATAATAGCAGACATACCCCATGGATGACCAAATTCCAGAGGTACCCCATGCCAGATCCCGTGCAGAAGCTTCCAATAAACAACAACAGCCCCAAGATTTTTATTAAAGCCTGGCACCATGTTTATGGTCATGAAACTGCAAGACCTGATCTTGACTGGGTAGCACATGAATGGAATAGCAATCGGATGTTTGGGACTTTCACCATAAGAAAAGCTTTGCAGCCACGTGAAGGTTCCCTACCTTTCTCCTGTATGCAATAACGAGAATAAACAACAAACAGGTTACCTCAAAATGAGTTCTGAACTTCTACACTCTTAATAATACCAGTAGGAGAAAGAAATCAAAATATGTCATTAAACTCAAAATAACAATAGTCTTCAATATTACCCCTACAGTAAAGCTTAAAATGGTGTTTGCGCCCACCAGGGGTTCGGGACAACAGAGGCCTTCCCCATGCCCCCCCACTCACCCCTTCTGGAACCCATTTCACCCAATGGCATGAAAGGTGCATATCAGACGACGATTGGAGTTACTCCACCGCAGTGGGCAGCCAAACCATAGAGGTGCTGCAGGAAATGTTTTGGGCAGTGGTCTTCCGAGATAATGGACAGGGCAGTGCTTGGAGAGATATTGCGGCATTGCAAAAGAATGGTGTTGGATGGGCTCTTACAAGCATATGCATCAGATTACAGATCAGTTGTTAAAACTTCTTATGTTGGCAATACATATCTTGTTTCTCTTTTCTAAAGTCAAGCTTTATGGAAAGCTATGGTAGAAACAAAAATCCCCTGTCATTCCTACATGGGCCCGCCCCACACCGGTCTCTAGAAGTTCTGCTGTAGGCTTCCATGCCACCAAGTGGTCCTTAGGCCTTACATCCAATGGTGCCTCTCCTGGCCCTGACACAGCCTCCAGGACAGTTGTATGAGTTGCCACGGCAGACTCCCCCAAACCTGCAGCCTCCAACCCAAGCACTGTACCTTCAGCCATAATGTGAGTTCTGATAAAACTGTCAGGTTCCGAAGGGTTAAGGAAAACAGCCAAACACAGAGACGGTTTGAAAATGCAGTTTATCTCCTCTGGCACGAACTGACCAACAAAGCACTAAGGCAATGGATAAATTGTCAGAGCTGACATCTGGGGCTCCCCACCACCTTTTATACTTTATGTGATATTTAGGATAAACCCCACCCCCGTACACACCTCCCCCCCATCACCTCATGACCCAGAGTGAAAACCACCTGGCAGTCAGTTATGGAGAGTTCTCAGCTGAATTGCTTGTGGAGGAGGGAGATCACCGGCTGGGAAGCACGATTCCCAGCAACTCTGGATCCGTGGGCTCACTGGAGCTGACAAATAATGTTATAACTTGATTATATTGCTTCTCTTTTGGACCACTAATATTGAGGCTTCAATTTTGGGAGAATAAATAAAAACATCTATTATGTGTGTAACTTTATATTTAACACGTTCCTTTGTCTTCTACCAGGACTTGTATCAAAGCCAAACTAGCTATGATGTGGATTACCCAAATGTTATGAGAGATTATGAAGGGATTATAGAGCCAGTGGTTTAAGCACTAAACTAGAAACCAGGAATTTGTGAGTTCTAGACCTGCTTCAGACATGAAAGTCAGCAGGGTGATTTTAGCAGTCATACTCTCTCAGGTCAATTCTCACAAAGTTGCTCTTTTAAGAAAACAAAATAGGAGGAAAGAGGAGAAGACCTCTTAGGAGGAGAAGACCACCTAGAAGACCATTCAGTGTTCAGTGGAATGAGAATCATCCTATACAACTACTTTTTTTTCTAAATGAAAGATCTCCATTTGTCAAGTTCAGGGGTTGTTTGTTTGTTTTTGTGGACACTACAAATAATAAAATATAGAGGAGTGATTTTAATTAGGACAGATAAATCTCAGTTCCCAGATCCCATTTAAGGGCTGTCCCACAAAATTTCTGTTTTTTTAAATTAAAAACTGGAAGATCCAAATTATTTTAAAATAATTTATTGGATAATACAACACAATAGCAGAGTTGGAAGGGACCTTGGAGGTCTTCTAGTCCAACCCCCTGCCTAGGCAGGAAACCCTATACCATTTCAGACAAATGGCTATCCAACATCTTCTTAAAGACTTCCAGTGTTGGGGCATTCACAACTTCTGGAGGCAAGCTGTTCCACTGATTAATTGTTCTAACTGTCAGGAAATTTCTCCTCAGTTCTAAGTTGTTTCTCTCCTTGATTAGTTTCCACCCATTGCTTCTTGTCCTGCCCTCAGGTGCTTTGGAGAATAGTTTGACTCCCTCTTCTTTGTGGCAACCCCTGAGATATTGGAACACTGCTATCATGTCTCCCCTAGTCCTTCTTTTCATTAAACTAGACATACCCTGTTCCTGCAACCGTTCATATGTTTTAGTCTCCAGCTCCCTAATCATCTTTGTTGTTCTTCTCTGCACTCTTTCCAGAGTCTCCACATCTTTTTTACATCGTGGCGACCAAAACTGAATGCAGTACTCCAAGTGTAGCCTTACCAAGGCATTATAAAGTTGTATTAACACTTCACATGATCTTGATTCTATCCCTCTGTTTATGCAGCCTAGAACTTTGTTGGCTTTTTTGGCAGCTGCTGCACACTGCTGGCTCATATTTAAATGGTTGTCCACTAGGACTCCAAGATCCCTCTCAAAATTACTACTATTGAGCAATGTACCACCTATACTGTACCTGTGCATTTTGTTTTTCTTGCCTAAATGTAGAACCTTACTTTTTTCACCATTGATTTTCATTTTGTTAGATAGTGCCCAATGTTCAAGTTTGTCAAGATCCTTCTGTATCTTAAGGCTATCTTCTGGAGTGTTGGCTATTCCTGCCATCTTGGTGTCATCTGCAAATTTGATGAGTTCCCCATTTATCCCCTCATCCAAATCATTGATGAAGATGTTGAAGAGTACTGGGCTTAAAACAGAGCCTTAGATAAAACAGATAAAATTGAGAAAATGCATGTTCTTTGTAGGCTTTTGCAACTACTGCTGCAACATCTCAGAGCAGGGAGGAAAAGGCCATTATATCATTGAAACATTTCCAAATTTTCATAACTTTGCAAGTCATGCTTCCTCTTTTCTGTTTTGCAGAAATTCTCTTCTCACATCTTGTATCATGCACATACGTTTTTCAGGAAACTATTATTGCTCTGTTTTTTCTACTTGATGAATATTTTTCCCCATTCCAAAATGAACAGTCTTTCCCATCTTAGCTTAAAAAATACATCTTTAATTTTTTTAAAAATGTAATTAATTTATAAATATTAACATATGCATACTTACTGACAGGTAATCGTATACTGCCATGCTGCATTAAGGTCCCTTTTTCCAAATCCTCATTAAACTCTTAAATGTGTTTAGCAAAAATCCAAATTGCTTTTTTAAAAAAAGAGATAATATTGCTTTTGTATTTGAAAGAATTCAATTTTCACATATATTTGCAGGCACATAACTTAAAATCATAAAATTATGGAATTTATTATAGTAATCTTTAGTATTGTCTGCTAAATTAATGAATTTCAAAGCTTAGAAGTTTAATGTTTTAATTTTTTTAAATCTGCAGCATAAAAATTAAAAGAAATTACCACAGAACACATCTGTGGTACAAAATTACTGAAGTGTATGGTGGTTCTCAATTTGAAACCAGTTTCTTGTGCATTTCAGGGCAAGGTCATTGAAATCACCAAGTATCTTGCTAGTTTCCTAAGAATACTTATGATGCCACAATCCATACCAAATTTGTTGGTCAAAAACAAGGCTGAACTACTGTGCTTAATTCAGTGACAAAGCATGTTAAGAAACTCAGTTGATAGATTGGTACTTGGTTTACCAATCTGCTGTTAGGATTTAACTAAGCAGTTACTCTATCTCTCTCTTAACAACACTTCCTTGCAGCACACGCAGTTTCTGATTTTGAGTAATTGAACATTGTGCTTCAATGTTTGGTTTTTCCATATTTCATGTTCCAGTTCTCCTTTTAAGCTAGAGTTTTGTTCCAAATGAGTGAAAATAATACTTACAAGCCAGAACATTTAACAAGAATTTTGTCACTAGTCAGCACTTATAAAAATAAAAATTTGAATATAAGCTTGAAGGAAAAATACAGTGATCAACTTCTTGTTCAACCACGGAACTCATTGGTGACTCTGGGCCTCTCTGACCACCAGTATTGATATTTCACATGGGGGACACATCTGTAATATCTCAAGTAATATTTCAGTCGGCAATGAGTGACAAAATAGATTCTTTATTATGCTCATTGGCCAGACTTCTACCACTTAATGAAGAAATTAATGTCTATTTTACATTAAAAAAAACTCAAATGAGGTATTCAAGATGTGTTGAGTGTTATAAACTAACAAACGTGTGCCAGAGAAATCAAATTGAACTGTAGCTATACATGAAATAAATCGGAACAATATCAGAATCACCAAATAGGGAGTTAGGATTTTTTGAGGTTCAGAACTCCCTCTTTAGGGGTGTTTGCAAGTCATGAAAGTACACATAAAATGAAATGGCCAAAAAAGTAAAAATGGCAGCCACCATGACATACGCAAAACTGTTTTTTTTAATGAATATCATAACACCTCCTTTGATCACCATGCCATATTAGCTCTCCAGGTTTTGCCCTTTTATCATTAAATATTAAGTCTTCGTCAGGTTAAGGAAAACAGCCAAACTCAGTTACAGCTTGAAAATGCAGTTTAACTCTTCTGTCACAAACTGACCAACAAAGCACTAAGGCAATGAATAAACTGTCAGAGCTGACATTTGGTGCTCCCCTTTTATACTTTATGTGATATATAGGATAAACCCCACCCCTGTGCACACCCATCACCTCGTGACCCAGAGTGAAAACCACCCGGCAATCAGTCACAGAGAGTTATGAAGTGTTCTCATCTGGATTGCTTGTAGAGGAGGGAGATCCCCAGCTGGTAAGCATGATTCCCGAGGCTCCCACGCCTTCTCCCATCCTAATGGCAGTTCTGGGCCTGTAGGCTTGCTGACAGAAGCTGACAGTCTTCTAAATTTCATCGTTACTATTTGAAATATTTCACCTGTCTGTTCTGATGGCTTCAAGCTTTCTTGCATTTGATTTTATCTACTGGTTTATGTAAAATAAATCCTGCCTGTTTTGAGTCTACCGGAATTTAAAACCTGAGGTTTTTCCACCCATCCCCTTCTATTAGCCTATCTGGTGTGCCAGAGCCAGTGTTAAGGTTTTTTGAAGTTCTCTCTCCTACACCCCTCCTCCAACCAAAGCGTTGAAACAGAGAACTTTGCTCTCAGAGTCCTTGCTGAAATATCAGTACACTCTTTGGACACAACATTTTGGTTTCATCATGATTTCCTGTCACTCCAGTGTTTTGCTTTGCCTTCTTTTGCTTGCATCTCCCATTACAAGCACTTCAGGTACGACACATCTGAAAATGTTTGTTGTGGTCATGAATTAAATGCTTTCCTTGTTTTCTATAATTCAACTTTTATGACATAGTGTTTAATGTCTTGGAAAATCTATAGCTAAGATTTTAGTAAACCAGATTTTAATGCATCGTAAGTCAGCAATAAACATTCTAAGAAGATAAAAACTTAACAGGTTGAAGCATTCTTGAAACATTTCTGATTGTTGCATATTGCAGAGACTAGTATGAGGAAAGGCATCTGGACAGAAATGTTAAACAATGTATTTAAATATTCTTGAAACATTTCTGATGGTTGCATATTGCAGAGACTAGTATGAGGAAAGGCATCTGGACAGAAATGTTAAACAATGTATTTAAATATTCTTGAAACATTTCTGATGGTTGCATATTGCAGAGACTAGTATGAGGAAAGGCATCTGGACAGAAATGTTAAACAATGTATTTAAATATTTAGTATTTTATAGTTTAATTTTTCTATAATCAACTTATGAAGTATTATAAAGTATTCCTTTTCAAGGAGGGGATTTAAGGTAAACATGCTGTGGTTTTATTCTTTTGCATCAAAATAATGATACAACCCTAGCTGTGGATTCATTGTTTCATTTTAAAATCACAAATTAAGACCAAGTCCCATTCTTCATCATTTAAACTGTGTACAATATATTCAAAGTTATCAGGAAAATTTAAACAATAATATAAGCAAAAATGCAACAAATGAAGCATTTGGTCCACTTTTCATTCCATCTTAGTTCCCAGTTAGTAAATGTAAAATACAATAAAATATTAATAACAAATTCTTTTTTAAATTGTTGTATGCTTCCTTCAGAGAGTTTAAAAATACACCCCTACTGCAATTATGCCTATTGGTCTTTGAATCAAGGAAATAATGGAGGACACGATTATCAGGGGCTACTAGATTTGAAATGTCAGTGTCACCTCTTGATTGGGCCAACATGCCTTCAAATATCAGTTGCAAAGCAACATCAGTGGGGAAGGGCAATGTCTCTGTCTCCTACTTATGAGCACCCAAGAGGCTTCTGATTGGGCACAGTGAGAAAGAAAATGCTAGTCTATGATGAGCTTTGGCCTGGTCCAGAAGGGTGGTTCCTCGATTTTTCAGTCCTTGAAGTAGAAAATTTAAATCATAAAATTGTGGGAAAAATATTGAAAAGACTTTTTAAATGCTAGTACAGAGGATACATGCATTCCTTTTCATAGCTAGTGTTCCTACAAAATAAATAATTGCTTCAGTAAATACAAGAGAGATTTCAATTTGTATTTATTGAGCACTCCTGGATGTTATAATCATAAATTGTTTTGAAATATGATGCAAGATAGAGAATTAGCTCAGTCCTATGAAAAGAGAGAGAAGCTTCCTGTTTTAAAAGAACCTTTTTCCCATACACTGGGATTGCCTAAAAACTGACCTAACTCTATGCTATTCAGACACTTCATAGGATCAAGGAAAACCTGACCATCCAGACAAGAAAGGATTTTTTAAAGTTGAGAATTACTGCTAGAGCTAATCCCAATGACTACTACCTCACTGCCATTTAATCTGATTGGTAATAGTCACTACGTGTTGTGACGTATAACTTTACTGTTAAAAAGTAGACAGAAGACAGGGGTCATGGAAATTGCTACTGCCTTCAGGGGAAAGGGAGGTTAAGAAGGGGAAATGATGCAGAGAAGCAGTATTAGGGGACACTGAATTGATATCTAGTACTGAAATGATTCCCAGTAGGATGCGGTGGCTAAGACCCTGAGCTTGTTATCAGAAAGGTCGGCAGTTTAGTGGTTCAAATCCCTAGTGCCACATAATGGAGTGAGCTCCCACTATTTGTCCCAGCTTATGCCAACCTGGCAGTTCAAAGGCACATAAAAAAATGTAAGTAGGAAAATAGGGACCACTTTGGTGGGAAAGTAACAGTGTTCTGTGTGCCTTCGGCATTTAGTCATGTCGGCCACATGACCATGGAGACATCTTTGGACAACGCTGGCTCTTTGACTTTGAAATGGAGATGAGCACTGTCTCCTAGAGTTCGGAACGACTAGCACATATGTGTGAGGGCAACCTTTACCTTCACTGAAATGATGGGAATAAATGTTGAATTTTTTTTTCAAATGGGAAACATTTTTCAGTGCCCACTGAAATTTAAGATAGGGTATGTGATTTCTAGCTGGATGGTGTTTCACTTCAGTCTGATGAATACAGCTGGCTCATTGTTTCTGTTTTTAAGTTTTCATAAGGCACAAGGAAGCCAGCAACATCTTACAAAGAGCTAGGAGAGCCAATTATTTCTTAGAGGAGCTTAAAACAGGATCACTTGAGCGGGAATGCATGGAAGAAAAATGTTCGTGGGAGGAAGCAAGAGAAATCTTCCAAGATGATTTGAGGACTGTAAGTAACAAATTATTGTGGTCAAATTGACTATTCTGCTAACCTGTTATTTCTAATAAACTTTCAATTTCAGTGATACTTGCCTATCTGAAGTGCTAGCAGTTGATAACTTTGTCAATAAGTCTGTTGTTGTTATAAAGAGTATAAATGAGCCAAAAAATAGGACATGCTAGGAATACTGTTAAAGACATTCCATTCAGAATACTAAATAGAGCC